GGACAGGCGCTGCCCCCGAACTCCGGCTCCAGCTTGACCATGCGGGTCCGGATGGTGTGTCCCTTACCGCAGGACTTGTTGCACTCGGACCACTCGGACCACTCGGACACCATGCAGTCCACCGCTAGGGAGGAGAAATGGAAGGAAGATCAGGAAGAAAAAGGGAGGAGGGAATGGAAAACAAAAGAAAGTATCGGACCCAATGTGGATGGATCGTGAGGTGATTTTTACAGTAAACTCTTGAAAATGTTTCAGATTATCTACATTAAGAAAACTGTAGAAAAATAGATGGTTTTATTCAGCTGAACTAAATTCCGGTTTTTAAAAAGTCTGTTTGCACATTTAGAGACAAATACATTTCTGAAAATGCATCACCCTTGTCTTCTTTTGCTTTTACAGAAACAACTCCAGTAGGAAAGAGAGACTTATAATTGTTCATTTTATATTAGAAAAGATTTTTGTTGTAGTGTTTCGTTGTGTTTCGTTTGTAGCAAAGTTCGGTTTTATTCAATAAATTGAGATCATTCAACGTTTTTAAAGAAAGTAATTTTGGTTATTGCATGCAAAGCAGTTTTTTTTTTTATTTCAATTATTTCTGCATTTGTTGTGGTAATTTTCCTCATTTGTTTTCTTAAAAGTAAAGCTTAAGAGTAAATACAGCCTTTAGCTTTGTATCATGGTCCATGGTCCAGTTGCAAGAAAAGGAAAATGACCAGACAGAGAAAAAACCAAAGAAACCAAAGATTTTTGTCAGTTTTACTGTTGATTTCACATAGGATCTATGATACGTGGAACCTAATTCAGCAATTCTTGGATCATCTTTAATAACTAAATAATTTTAATTATTTGAATAATTTTAAACACTTATTGTCCTAAGAGGAGAAGCCAGCCTTTAGTCATCGTTTTTGCAGAAAACCAAGCAAAAATCCCCAAACAGAACGGTAAAAAAAGTATGTCTGAAACAACTAAAACGACCAAACGTGGTAAACCAAGTCTGGGAGAGGATATTTTTTCCCCCATTATGGTCACTGGACTGAGAAAGTGCTCAGACTGCAGAACGGCTGATAATTAAAGAATTTATTTATAGTCAAACGCTTCATTTGGACCACTAATGAAACGGCTGTGAGGAACACTAAACTGTGTCAAACAACAGATGAACCAACGTAAATGTTCAGTTCAAACACGAACGTCTGTGAGATCGCAGAAAAAAAAGCGCCCTCGGACATCCCAGTCATTCGTTAATGTAGCGTTTTTTTTCCCCATTTCTGGGTCCCGCTCGAGGGCAAAGTGTTTACCGTCTTCATTTTTCTACTTCTCACCCTCTCTGCAAGTTTTCCACTTCTCCCACTCTGACAAACGACCCAGCACATAACCGATATCCGAGGGGGAAAGTGACAGGGGCGTGTTAAATAATTAGCGAAACGCTCCAGAGGCAAGAAGAATAAATCTTGCCTTTTCCAATGAAAATGGGGAACAGCTTTGGAGTTAGGTGATTTATGCTGGAGAGGCGTGGCAGCACCAAGTCTCTGACACAAGAAATCCACAAAATCCTGAAACTTATTCAGCTTTAAAAGCAGTTCCTATTCATTTGTGGAGCCAAAATGAGGCCTTAACCCTGTAATGCCAAATGTATCATATTTGATACATATGTTTCTGAAATGTTTTGCGTCTGACACCTTTTGCATAATTTAATGGTAAAAACTTTGCTCAAAATCCTATTGTACACAATCAGATACACCTGATAACAGGGGGCAGAAGACTACACAAAAAATAATCTTGACTTATAACATAGTAATAATTCTATGTAATTCTTTTTACATATTTTGTTAAAAGGCCAAATAAGGAATTCAAACCAAAAATAAATCAATTCTGTATTGTATTATTCTTGGATCAGGCTTTAAAGGGTTAAAAGAGCCCAGTGAAACCAGACCCTTTAGTTTAAGGTCTTTTTGCAGCTCATCCTGAGAGAAACCTGAGCGCCTTCATGCCCAGTTCAGCTCTCACTTTAGCAACAGACTGTAAAAAAAAAAGCCTCCGGGGAACAACTCCTGAGCTCCTCTGCCTGATGCAGACTGAGTTTAAACAGCGATTAAACAGCCATGAGGCGGGAGGGTTTTAAAAGACACAATGAACCTCGAAGCTCCACGATCCATGTTTTATAGGGACTGTGAGCTTAGAGACGAAGAAATGTGCAAATAAATGTAATCAAAACTTTTTAACAAGCTAAAATAGAAAGCTTTTATGTAACAGTTTTTTGGACCCTACGATGATGCAGCAGCTTGTCAAATATGACGCATTTTGCATTAAAGGGTTCAAATCCCCGAGTCTGCATGTTCTCCTGTGTCTGTGGGTTCTCTCCGGGTTCTCCGGCTTCCTCCCACCCTCCAAAAACCTGCATGTTAGGTTGGCTGGACTCCAAACTGCCCTTAGGAGCCAATGTGAGTGTGTGTGGTTGTTGGTCCTTGTGTGTCTCTGTGTGTCCCTGTGATGGACTGGTGGACTGTCAAGGGTGATCCCGCCTCTCCCCATTGGCTACTGGGATAGACTCCAGTTCTCCCCGCGACCCCATTAGGGAATAAACGGTAATGATAATGGATAGATGGATAGTGGATGGGTTAGACTTAGACTTAGACTTCCTTTATTGTCATTGTACAAAAAAAACACAAGGTGAAATGTCGATTACTTGGCTACCAGTGTGACAGAGCTAAGACCTTATTTCTACTTAATAAATATGTATTCTATAACTAAGAGCTAAATATATACAGGGTACGAGCATATATATACATATTGCACAGAGTTATTACAAAAGAAACATCAATGAATATCGCACTGAGTTGATTGCAAAAAGAAACTATTGAGTTGAAGACAAATCCCTCGAAATGTGTATGTAAGTTGGTGTGACTAAAGGCAGGTTTGAACGTTTGGCCTTTGGATTAGAAAACATGCTGTCACGGGGGTGGATCTTGGAGGGAGGACTCAGTAGCGGAGATTCGTGAAAAAGGTTTATTTTAACAAAAAACGCACTCAAAAGAGTGGACGACAGGACAAGGTTCAAAAACAAGGCTGTGACAAAATCTATGAGCAAAGTAACAAAGCAAGGTTATCATGACTATGAACACAAAGTATCAAATAAAGTAAACGAGGCTATGGTTTAGAACCCCCTTTTTATCAGACAGGCCCCTACACTCAGCTCTTTTAAAACCCTTTTAAAGACCCACTTTTACTCTCAGGCCTTTGAGTGAGACTTAGACTTGATTTTAGTCGTCTTAATTTCCCTCTCTTACTTGGTTTTGTTTCTTATTTTTGCTCTTACTGCTTTTAATCTTTGAGTTTGTCTTGTGTTGTGGTGATAATTGTGTTTTATGATTCGCTCAAATGGGGGGGCGGCACAGTGGTGTGGTGGTTAGCACTGTCGCCTCCCAGCAAGAGGGTTCTGGGTTCGAATCCTGGGGGAACCAGGACCTTTCTGGGTGGAGTCTGCATTTTCTCCTGTGTCTGTGGGTTCTCTCCGGGTTCTCCGGCTTCCTCCCACAGTCCAAAAACCTGCATGTTAGCTTGATTGGAGATTGGGGAAATTGCCCTTAGGAGTGAATGTGAGTGTGAGTGGTTGTTGGTCCTTGTGTGTCTCTGTGTGTCCATGCGATGGACTGGCGGACTGTCCAGGGTGTATCCTGGCTCTTGCCCGTTGACCACTGGGATAGGCTCCAGTTCCCAACAGGGAATAAGCGGTATTGATAATGGATGGATGGATTTGCTCAAATGTCTTGTACAGCGCTTTGATTTTAGCTTTGGCTGACTGAAAGCGCTTTATAAATAAGGTTGAGTTGAGTTGAGAACTGCAGAAGACAAAGTGTGTGTGTGTGTGTGTGTGTGTGTGTGTGTGTGTGTGTG